ACAAGAAATACCCACAAAATTTTATCAACCCCTGAAGCCCGGCCGAAACGTCGGTATGGGACAATCGTCCAACTGTTCATATAATTTTTTACGTTCTGTGTAGATAAACCGTGTTTTATTTTTCGGTGTGACCACCAACGCATGAACTGTATCTTCATGCTTCAATCGCCTTTGGTGGTTTGTCCAAAATTTACTCAAACAGAATAAACAATACGTACTTCCAAAACTCGGACTGCGGATTGGTGTTGTTGCGTGTAGCAGAGAAGACTATTCTCACTAAAGGATAAGAGCAGCAGGATAAGGCTGAATAACACAATACAAGACCCAATAAAAAATCAAAGGAACAAATACTATCATCCGTTTGAAGGAATAACGACATAATGAAAACGTGCATGAATGTCATCATGCATTCTTAGGTTTCGAAAATTCAAGTTACAGACCTTTGTCTTCTCTCAATTTCTTGACGTAATCGATCATACATCTGGATCTGCCATCGATCTCGTTCATGAGTCACCACTATGTGCTGAGAAAATAGAAAGTATGATGAAAGGACTTCACGAGGCAGTCTTCGCGGATCAATACAGGCAGTGGAACTAAATCCTTTCATCCGTGTTTGTTGCCAAAACGTCCTACTGTCTCCAATGGATTTACAACTTTTCTGAGAAGTCTGGTTTGTACTGCCTTGTCATCCGACAGTTTAAAGATTCGCAACAGGTTTTGCAGGTATCGTGGTGGCTCAGGGATGTGCATCACACCGTATTTCGCATTGCAAAAGGTCCGTACTTTGGTCATTTTCTGTTTACTCACCGGAGATGCTGAGGATCGATTATGGAAGATGATGCAGCATTAATATGACAATGACATGCTAGATCGCCTAACAAACGGTACCATTTTAGTCTGAGTCCAGAAATTTTAGTAAAAACCAGGTTGATGGAAAGAAATGTTGCGTTACCTTAAAAATGGGTTTGGAATGAATAATTTCTTTTCACTCTACAACTGAATCGTAATCGCTGTTCCATAGCAGCTCGTATCTATAATAAACAAATAACAGCCGATGATATGGCCAATATTTCGAGCTAATATGACTTGATCTGCACTGCAGAAATTTGAAATGATTATGAACGTACTGACAGATCTGCTGGAAAATGTGTTTGCCGTTTCAAGGGGAAGCAATTTCAGAGCACAACGACCATCGACGCGGTCTTTGGCCAGATGAAAGGACACAAATCAGAATCATTGGCGACGAGTAGAAGACTTCCCTACGGTTATAAAATTGTAGCAAATGCAGAACTTTTGAGTTTTAAGCAACAGTGCGGGATCCAGCTGCAGTCGAGATTCGCTAAAAAGACTGACGGAGACTGAGGTTTTCTAAAACGGCAAATGGAGATCATATAAACACAAAACTTCGCAATGCATCAGTCTGTTTCAAAATTGTAGTACTCAGCTAGGCTGAACCATTTTGCCCGGTCATCGGACACAATATCTAAACTGCACGCCTCTCCAACCCACGATTCCTGCTCCGTAGAAGGATCGGTCAGTGAATGTAACGTCGTGTTCGCCAATTGAATTTAAATGCTTGACATGGCATATAAATTACGGTAAAACCAAAATGATATACAAGACTTAGCCTTATTGCCTTACTCCTTTCTTGGTTTCAGCCGCTTGATACATCTGCTGAACAAATGTCTGAAAATTTTCGATAGCTGTAAGCCGGAGCACTTCTGTGCGGTTACTAGATCTCATCCCACCAGTGGATTATGCCGACGGTTAAGTGTGTCACCTCGTTATTTATGAAAAATTTACTCGTTCACCAGGAGGTTCGCCAAAAAATGAATTTCTTCAACAGCTTGCATCTGACTGTCGACAAGTGACGGATCAAGCCTCTGCTTGCATTTAAGGCTAAAACGGTACATGCTGATTAACACAGACTTTACTTGCTGCTGCGACCTGCGTGGCGTTCAGGCACTTCGAGGATAGGCAAGGTCGACGGTCGCCTCCGCAGCGGCTGCTATAGAAG